GCTCAGGTCATGATCCCAGGGTCCTGGGATCAAGTCCCGCATCGGGCTCCCTGCTAAGCAGGGAGCCTGCTTCTCCCTCTGCCTGCCACTCCTCCTGCTTGTGATCTTTCTCTCTCTCTCTGACAAATAAATAAATAAAATCTTTAAAAAAAATTTTTTTTTAACCCTACAAAGGAAAAAAATGATCTGAATAAATAGAGAGACTTAATATTATGAACATTCAATTCTTCAAAAATTAAACTATAAATTCCAATGTAATTATATATCAAAATTCCTGTAGGATTTTAAAAATATACTTGATATTCTAAAATATTTATGAGGAAATAAATGTCCACAACATAGCTAATTTAATTTTGAAAAGAAAAAGTAGAAAGGAAGAACCTCCCTGCCAGGTATCAAGATATACATATACTGCTAGAATAATAAAAACAAGTGGGCCAACTGAAACAGAACAGAGAGCTCAGAAGCAGCTTCATATACTAATGGGAACTTATACAATAAAGGCGATATTAGATTCATGGGAAATGATGAGTTTTTAGCCCGTGAGAATTGATTATATAGAAAAAAAATCTGGATCAAAAGTGAACTCTAGTTGAATAAGATGTTTATATGTCCAGAAAAAAATTATAAAGGTAGTAGAAGAAAATGGAGAAGCCCACCCCTATGACGTAGAGATAAGAAATGATTTCTGGAACCAAATCTCCAAAGCAGGAATTATAAGGAAATATTAATTTGAATAATCAATTGAAGATTCCTGACCAACAAAGACACTATGGATAAAGTTAACAGATAGATGACAAATCTGCAAGAGTAAAATGTCACTTGTCACCTGTTGCAAGCTGGAAAGGTCAAGTGTTGGGCAGGTTGTGGGGACATGAAGAGACTGATCATGGCATAGAAACTGATACAGGCCTTCTGGAGGGTAAGCTGGCATTATTTAATTCTATCAAATGAACCCATATCCTATGACCTAGCAAGTCCCATGATAGGTATATATTCTCCAGAAAAATCATAACCAGCTTCATAAAGGGTCATATATAAGAATTTGTACATTTGAAGCGCTATTTGGTTTAGCCAAGAGTTGGAACAATCAAGCTGTCTATCACTGGAGGAGTGGGGAGGTAAACTGTAACGGAATACACACATGGAATACTGTACATCTGTGAAAAGTAACACAGAAGGTGTACATGGAACAACGTGAATGTTTCCTTCTTGAAAATATTTAGTGCTGCACATAAAAACAGTAAAAGAAAAAAAATCTCTAATACAATACAATTTACATAAATTAAAAGCACATGTAGACATAACAAAACAAAACTGCATATTTTACTATCATCTAAATGAAAAGATGCATTAAATCATAATGATGGTCTTTTGAGAAGCAAAGGAATTGAATGGGGAATGGGGATAAAATGGATTGCATAAATAGATGTGGGAGTCTTGCACAGACTGCTGTTGCAATTCTACAAGAATGGGGATTTTGGACTGTGCTGAGTAAACATTTGTTGAGTGCCTGAATGTGACATGAATTGAGGAATATGATTCATTTTCTCTCTCTGTACCTGAGTTCCAAATATTAGGTTGCATCATATGAAATTGCAAGATGTTTGTAGGTCAAAAATGGCCAAAAATCAGCGGTTTCATATAATTCAACCTAATAGAAAGGGAAATCTGAAAATGATGAAAGGTACTTAGGGAAATATAAACAACCACTGTAAAGACTAGTGGGAGATAACATGAAAGACAAACCAAATTTGATTCTACCTTTTCATAATTAACTAAAAACCACCTACATTGATATAGTTAAGATGACTGTTCTTAAAATAAAGTGCCCTTAAGACTTAAGTCATCAATAGTATTTCCTTAAAATGTCAGTCATATACTATACTAAGGAATATAGCATCTGTATCTTTTATCACTCTGATCTTTTTTTCAATTGACTATATTTAATGGGCCATTTAAAGATTTTTCACTACTGGAAGATTTTCCAGAATTTACAATGTAGTTTATATAAGATAAATTCTGAAAAACATCAGGTTCAGTCACTTCTGAATCTCTTGAAATTATGAAAGGCACTTGTACATTCTTTTTTTTTAAACTTTATTATGATTGAAATACAAAAAGTTGTACATATTTACCACATACAATTTGATGAATTTGGAGATAAATACACCTATGAAACCATTGCCACAATCAAGCCATAATCACATCTATTCCTTCTACATTTTACCCTTCATATATGTATGTATGTATGTATGTATGTATGCATGTATGTATGTATGTATTATTTAGTGATACAGACACTTAAGTTCTATTCTCTTAGAAAATCTTAGTATCATTAACTGTAGGCACTATGCTGTCCATAAAACTCTAGGACATACTCATCTTGCATAAGTGAAACTTTGTACCAGTTGACCAATCTGTTCTCATTTCCCCTTTCCCCCAGCCCCTGGTAACTATCATTCTATTCTCTGCTTCTGTGAGTTTGACAATTTTAGATTCTCAAATAAGTGGGATCATGTAGTATTTGTTCTTTGAAGAAATTTTTGATTTTAGAGAAATAATTGTTCAGAGGACAGATATGAGAAAATGGGAAGAAACTGAAAGAACATACAGGATAAGATATTTGTGTGTTCTTTTAGTTTCTTCCTATTTCCTCTTACCTGTCCTCTGAACAATTATTTCTCTAAAATTGGAAACTTCTTGGGGTGACCTGGGTGGTTCAGTCATTTAAGCATCTGTCTTCAGCTCAGGTCATTATCTCAGGGTCCTGGGATCGAGCCCATGTCAGGCTCCCTGTTCTTCCTCTCCCTCTTCCCCCACTTGTGCTCTTTCTCTCTCTCTCTCTCTCTCAAATAAATAAATAAAATCTTTTAAAAAAATAAAATAGAATTGGAAACTTCTTAAAATTTACCCATTGTGTTGTTACTAGACCTTATTTTCAACTGAGGTGACCTGAGTTACCTTTTATAACTAAATTTTTTGTGCTTGTTACTAAGTTTTTCCAGAAAACTTTCTCATCATGCTTCATGTCAGGGCTTTCTAGCTTAGGCACACTTGAGAGCTTTGTTATTCACTCAGCAAATATTCCATATTGATTACTGTAATAAAATAGTCATTTTGCTTCCTAAGAATGAAGAAAAAACATAAGGGAAAAATTTTATTTTCATTTGTTGCAATGATTATATTTTTCTTGAATAAGTGGAAAGTCAAGAAAACAGAACACATCTGAGGATTAGCTTTATAATGGGTCAAAGAATTGAACTAAAATGATGAATTGAGAAAACAAGATGCAGCTTTTGTGATCCCTAGTGAATTAAGCTGTTTCCAGTTCCTTTTTGAACCTATACGTATTAAATGAAAATCTCTACTTGCAGCAATAAAATGAGGCAATCTTGGTTCAATGGGATTTGATAAATCATAAAGGTCAGAGAAAGGCAGCTCAACTCACTTTACCTATCTTTAACATACTTTGAGGGAAACAACAGCTTCGGTGGAAATTTTACCTTGACAGTGAAGCGTTTTTTCTTTGGTGGATTCCAAACTGTGCCATTTGAATGAATGAATGCACGCAAAGGTCTTAAGGATGTCACCAACACATATGCTTTAAGAATCACAGATAGTTCTTCAGCTCTGAAGATTGTTTCATGTCGAGCAAGGGCTGTTGTTTGATTCCTAAAAAAATAAGCCAGCATAGTTAATGCTCCATAACTTAGGGTACGTCATTTGTACATTACGTCGAAGCTTTGTGCACTCATTCTTCCTTTGTTGGACCCCAGCTTTCAATGTGTGGGTTTCCTTAAACAATTTCACTGCTTGTCAGCATCGCTGCCAAGGGATATGCAGGTACAGAGAGAGGGGATCAAATTGACAAGAGTTCTCCACTCCGGTAGACTTAATTAAAAAATTTTTAAGAGAAAGAAAGATAGGGAAATAGTGCCTAAAATAAGGTTTAAAGGTTTAAAAAGTGTAAATTAGTCATGTCTGTACCATTACAACAAAAGTGATTCAAATTACAGTTTAGGGAATAGTGAAGACATTTTCCCCATCCTGCTCTGGCCTGCCTTTGCTTTATCTTCTCCTTGACAAGAAAAGATATTCTACTTTTCAATAGTGGACAGGTCACCAAAAATATGCCAAAATATGTTCCCAATCTACTAGTCTGATTCTACCCAATAACTGTCATCACAGATAATTATGGGTTAATTTAAGGGCTAAATTATGAAGATAACACTTCAGTTTACAAGGGAAAATTAACATTAATATTTTGTGATGAAACAAGTATACTTTAATCATAAAAGATCCCAAAATGTTTAATTATTTGCTTTCTGCACGACATTTCTGTTTCCAATATTTAAGTCTGATCAATGAAAAGATTGAGCTATTTCAACTTTTGAAGTCTAGGTAGGCAGGAGATGCATATGATTCTTCAATAAATACTATTAACTGTAGAAATCTACTGAATAATTATAAAATTAGATGAAGTAAACTATTTTGTCTCTTGGATAAGATAATGAAAATCTTTTAATTTTTCACTATAATGTATCTACGTTACAAAATCATTTCCCTGGAGGTAACTTAAATAATTTGGTACCCTGCAGTTGCTTTCTTAGATCCTAGGAGCCATAAAAAAAATATTAACCAGAAAAAGAATTCATTCAGCCATACTCATAGACTAGGGCAATGTCATTTGAGTATAAAATGGAAGTTAAAATTTTATAGTTTCACACTGTCAAGGTTTCAAATTCTATTTCCGTTAATGTAACTTCCTAGATAAGAGTCCTATTTACCCAAATGTTTATTCTCTGGCAAGAGAGGTTTGAATTAGTCTAGAAAAAAATCAATGATGGCATTCTTTATTAAGAAGAGATAGCTGAAATTTTATGTAACAGAACCTAGTAATTCAAACATGTAATACCCCCTGGATATCTTCAGGGGTTTTCTCTTGTTAGCTGTTTCCAAGAATGCATGCTGGATATAACAATTCAAAATGATTAGCTTACAGTTGTTCACGTCGCCAGTCCCATGGTTTCCACATATGTGGCTTCACTGTTTTTAAAAGGTGACTCGAAGTGCTCAGCTTTAACTGTATGCTCTGATCCAGACACACAGAGGGGCTCACCAGAAGTCGCAATTCTGAAAAAATTTAGAAGAGCAAAAACCAGTCATTCTATTGTTTCTTTTTGAAATTGCTCCAAAGTAGTGTTTGCTGTGTTCAACTACATGATGTATGGGAAATAGGCAACCCATTTTTTCTCCATTCTGAATCAAAGTTAGATCCATTCAATAACGCATGTTTATAAAGGCCTTTGTTTTGCAGTTTATTCTCACAATAGACTAGGAAAACAATTATAGTAACTGATTTCAACTCTTCTTGCTCAGAAAGAGAGCTAGAAATGATGTCTCCAACTGTCCTGCACCAGGCAGATCTACCCTCCACACACATAAGAGATGCACTCCTAATATGGGGAAGATGGCTGCAGGAGCTGACTTTTGCTTGTGATGAGAATATCACATGGACAACTTGAATTGATTTCCTGACAATAGCACAGTCCTTCATGTGCTAGAGCCTCTCTCATGCTTCATGATCTTGGTAAACTCGACCACAATGCTTTATTATTTTGTAAAATAGTATTTAATAGTTTTTAAAGTATATAAAAGTGAAGACCAACAGTAATGATTTACTCAGAATGCTCACTGATATTTTTTTAAAAAATAAATGTATTGAAGGTACATGGTTAAAAAATTCAAATTGTATGGAACGTTATCAAATTGGAAAAAAAAAAAAAAGCATCCAGCAATCCACCCCTATCTGGGACCTCTCTCTGCCAAAGCCAATGCCTACATATTCGCTTTTGAAGTCTAAATCAGTGCACAATGGGTAAGATGCATATGGTTCTTCAATATGTAAATTGATATAAATATCAACATATCCATATAACTTATATATGCAGACACTTCTGCTTTTTAAACTATCCAAAAGAGACATTACAGTAGTCCCCTTTATCTATAGTGTTGCTTTCCTCAGTTTCAGTTACCTGTGGCTAACCCCTAGTCAAGAAGCAAATGATCCTCCTGACGTACCATCAGGTCAGCAGTAGCCTAATGCTACGTCACAGTGCCTGTGTCCTTCACCTTTCTCTCATCATCTAGGCATGTTATCATCTCAGTCATCACAAGAAGGATGAGTGCAGCACACTAACATATTTCCAGAGAGTGAGACCACATTCACATAACCCTTATTACAGTCCAGTTATAATTGTTCTATTTTATTATTAGTTATTGTTGTTAATCTGTTACTGTGCCTAATTTATAAAATAAACTTTATCTTAGGTGTGCATGTATAAGAAAAAACAGTACATTTGGGTTCGGTACTATCTGAGGTTTCAGGCAAGCACTGCGGGTCCTGGAACGCATCCCCTGCAGATAAGAGGGGATTGCTGTATAATGGTCTATGTCTGGCATGTTTACCTACCAATCCATCCTGGAATCCTTTCCATTTGAGCATACACAGAATTACATTATACTTCTTGGGGCGCCTGGGTGGCTCAGTTGTTAAGCGTATGCCTTTGGCTCAGGTCATGATCCCAGGGTCCTGGGATCCAGAGGACATCAGGTTCCTTCCTCAGCAGGGAGCCTGCTTCTCCCTCTGCCACTCCCCCTGCTTGTGTTCCCTCTCTCGCTATCTCTCTGTCAAATAAATAAAAAATCTTTGAAAAAAAAAAGAATTACATTATACTTCTTAATGGCTTAGGGTGTGCCGTTAAATGGATATACCTTTGATTTAATCATTCTCTTATTGTTGTGTATTCAGATTACATTTGTAATTTTTCCTTTTGTTATTTCAAAAATACTGCACAATGAATGCTCTTCTAAATCTATTTGGGTGTACTTTTACAAGTTTATTTAGGGTCAAAGTCTAGTCTGTATGTGTAATTACCAGATCAACGAATAAATGCAATGTAAAAATGATAGGTATTACTGAACTGGCTTCCAAAAGTTTGCCCCAATTTCCACTCCCTCTGACAGCACACGAGAGTTGTTTTTCCTTGCCGTCAGGTCACAGTGATTTATTTTTAAATTATACAATTTATCTAGCTCTCAAGATGGAACAAAGCCTTTAAATTATTTTTCCCCCTTGTGCACATTTCATCAATACTAACATAGTCTAATTTAAAACACTTCACACTCTTAAGTAAAAGTCAGCAGAAGTCAAGCTGTTCAATGTATTCCCATATCTCATTATTTAGCACAGTGTGATCTTTCTCAAAAAATGATAGCCTACTTGTAAGGCTTCCTTATTAATGAAGTTCTAATACATCATAATAAAAGAAATACTCAAATTGCTTGTTTCTGGAGGTGACAAATGAAGAGTCATTAAGGTAATTTCTTTTCTTGGGAATCACAACTTAAGAAGAGTTGAAATGTTTATATAATCCTTTAAATTTACAGTCAGAAAATACGTTCTCTTTTTTTCACTAAGTAGACATTTTTTAGGATTTATTACTAGGAAAGATTTTGTCTCTCTGGAAGAGCTAATTTGTGGCCTTCTTTTGTATAATACGAGAACAGTGTAATTTACTCTGATTTCCTTTTTATCCTTACTGCCAGGAAGCACAGCATTGATCTGAAACCCAAGCAGAGCTGACTTTGAAGAAGCTACCCCTATTAAGTGTTTCACCAAGGTAGTAGCTCAATGATTTTCAGGAAGTAGTAGTCAGCAAATATGTCAAAGAATAAACAATTTTATGTCACCTTTTTTTTTGGCCTTAGTTCAAGTGGAAGAGCCTATAACACAGAGCCCAAGGAATCCAATATAAGAATTGTCAAGAATATGTCAGCATTCCACATCAGCCCTTCAAACTGTGGTTGAACAATGGAATGTAATATTGATTAAAGTAATTTTTACCCTTTGTGATATATATACACACACATATATATATAGATATAGGATCTATAGGTGTATATATATATATATATATGGCTTTCCATTATCTTATTCCAGGTTTGAGGTTACTCTTAATGATTCTAACCCCCCAAAAACCAACAAAAAGCCCCTCTAATTAGATGTTCCCTAACATCTAAAATCATTCCCATTTCCCTTGATTACAGCCAAAAATTAAAAATGAGCTCCATTAAGGGACACCTGCATGGCTCAGATGGTTAATCATCTGCCTTTGGCTCAGGTCTTGATCTCCGGGTCCTGGGATCGAGTCCCACATCGGGCTCCTGGCTCAGGGGGAGTTTGCTTCTCCCTCTGCCTCTCCCCTCTGCTAGTGCTCTCTCCCTTTCTCTCTCTCTCTCAAATGAATAAATTTTAAAAAATCATTAAAGAAATAAGCTCCATTAATCCTTGTAAAAGCTGCAACTACATTTTATGGAACTATGATAAATAATTGTGGAAATCTTAAATACCCTATGTTCTCACTTAACAGAGTCAAAGAATTGTCAGTAGTCACTATTCCTTTCATCTTTCATTTGGCTTTTCTATCAAAGGCTCTCTCAACAAACCAGTCCAATTCACTTGTTTTAATATTCCATTCCCCTCTTCTCCCTAGACCACCCAACACACACATGAACCTAGAGATCTTCTATAAGCAATGCCAAAACAAGCTTCTGTTTTTTGGGGAAATTTGGGAGATGAGTGCCTATGATACAGTCTTTTAAATGACCTTGTAATTCATTAAGACGTATTTGTTATATATTTTCAGAAAGCAATTAAATATGGAGGGCCTAGCATGTGTATTTAGGGTTTTTCTACCCCACAGTATGAGGACTGAATGAATAGGCAGCTACAGATGTGAAATATCTATGTGTTTTTATTTATCAACTACGCTTAGCTTATTTTAAAGAGCTATGAAGCCTGTAACTTTACCACTTACCCAGAGAAAAAATGAACAATTTTTAAAGGATGCATGAAGACTGCTTTTCTCCTGCCTTCTAACATTTGGTTGGCCAGGGACCCAGTACCCACTGAGTATCGTGCAGTTTTAAGAAAAGAAAGATTAAACCAGAACCACAAGACCTGGGTTTTCATTTTGATTCTTACTAACCAATGCTTAATGGATGTGTGACAATGTCAAGGAGTCTTCTAGAATCCAGAATATGATTTCCCATGAATTTCCTGATTGTCCCACATCACTGAATACAATGCTGATGCATAAAAAGTGTTCAGTAAGTGTTTGTTCTAGCAATGAGCTAGTTTGGAGGGTTGGGGGGGGGCGGGTAGGGATTAAATCAATGCGTACTTGGAAAACAAAATGGTATCCCAATGTATTCAAAATATTTTATTTTTTTCCCTTTTATATGGCATGTAATTATATACGTTATCGGCAAAGACTATACACTGGAAAACAAGCAATGATTAGCAGGCAAATTTATACTATATTTGATTTAATATTTTGCCCAGAGCTAATAATTAATAGGAAAGTAAAAGTGGAAAATGTAATTATATTTCATAAATGTTTGAATATTGTCTTGCATTTCATATTAGGAAACTACACTTAGCCACTATTTTCTCATTTTAAAACTTCCAGTGAAGATAAAAGGTCTTAATTAATAATTAACAGTTAGTTTTGAGATTAGAAGTATAAATAAGTACCTTTTGTGGGTATATTAATTGTTCTTTTTACCCAAAGACATTTACAAGTCTTAGTCCTTAGCCCACAGGTATAGCTATGCAAACATACCCACAGAACTTACATACATAACAAATATAAATTAATATATGCACAAACTAAAGTCATAGCCAGGAAAAAAACTGAGTCAGGGCCCTGGGAGAAAATGAATGGATGGCAAGTCAAAATCATAGGTGAAGAGACTATTAACCAAGAAACTATTACAGAAGGGGACTGTTAAAGAGGGTAGCATTAAGGGAAAACAATAGGTAGTGAAGCTCCCAGGGTTGACAAAATGGACGCTCTTGCCACCCCTAGCCCAGGAGGGCGGGGATTATAGAACCAAGCAAAGGGCATAGCTGTGGGAGAGAACACTGAGCATGAGCTATGGTCACAATAGCTGTGGGAGAGGATGCTGAGCATGAGCTATGGCCACAGATAGAAGAACACTGGCACTACTAAGCCAGGTCTGGCTGGGAAGCAGGTAGGGAATAAATATCCCAAAGTTCCCTCCTCCTG